GTGCGTGCGTTTGGGAAGTCTGGCGATCCCAGAATGGTGGCTCATTCCACTGTCCCACTGTTCTGTACAGGTAATAGGAAGGTCAGCCAGAATGAACCGGTTTGAATGGCTGCTATATTTTCTATGGTGTTGTGGCATCTCCAGGAGGACAGAAGGGATTCATTCCTTTGCAGAGTGAGCTGAAGAGTCAAGTCAAGACTGTAGACACTGTGTCCTCTATTGTGGGGATGAGACCGCACAGGGCAGGGACACGGGGCAGAGTAGGTGGCGGTGGCGACTGCTCTCAAAGCTCCAGGGATCTGATTAGCATAATGCCTCGTGATGGTTGGTTTTTGTTGTTTTTGCTTTTCAATCTTGTTTTATTTTTTACAGGTATGGCTGTGCACCACAATGTGCCTTGTGCCACAGGAGCCAGAAGAAGGCACTGGATCTCTTGGAACTGCAGTAACAGAAGGTTGTGAACCAACAGCAGGTGCTGGGAATTGAACCTGAGTCTTCTTAAAGAGCAGCCAGTGCTCCTAGCCACCGAGCTGTCTTTCTAGTCCCATGATTGCCTCTTTTGAAATGAATCTTTGTTTTCCTCCCATGCACACACTGATTTCTGGTAAGATGGTATTTGGAAGATGAGCTGCCTTAAGTGATGTCATGAAGACCAGACTGGTGTCCTCTAGGAAGGAGAAGTGAAAGCAGGGCTTGCTCCCCACTGTGTGGAGCCCTCTGTAAGCCCTGAAGAGAGCACGCACAGGCATTGCGATCTTGGACTTCCCAGACCCAGACCCACAAGAACAAAATTTCTGCTATTTAAGCCTCTGTCTGTGGTATCTGGTTATAGCAGCCCAGACAAAGATATTTCTGGTTCTCCCCTATTCCTAAGTCATTCTATAAGCTCCTGGGATGCACTCCAACAAGAGATCATGTGCTACTTGGACTGGTGGCTGCAGCAGTTGCCATAGCAACCACAGCTGGGCCCTTGACCACACTGCACCTCTTGCAGACTGTGCTTAGACTTCAAAGGTCAGTGGGCTCTGCTCACACACCACTTCCTCACTGCAATTCTCCTGCCTCCTCTACAGCATCCAATGGAACAGGCATGTTGGGAAAAACAGAGGAAGGAGGGGAGGGGAGTGGAGGGGAAGGGAGGGGAGCACAGAAGTAGTTTTGAAAACTGAGAATCAATCACTCTGTTCAGATTTAAACCTAGCTTCACTTCGAAGGGCTAGACTAGAACTAGGCCCCATCTGCAGTAGGGAACACTGCAAAAATTATTCTCACCTTAAGACTTTTGCATTTCTCTTACATGTATTTTCTACAGCTACAGCCATAGCCCATAACCACTGAAGAAATGAGACCCCCCCTTATTATGAGACATGCACAAATTATCCTCATGATCAGAATTCCATCACTTATTGCAAATCTGGAAAGGAAAACAACATACAACAAAAAGTCTAAGGACAGATGTTCCCTCCAAATTTAAGACGTTGACTGATATCCAGGCTGAGGAAGCCCTCAAAAAGATGGGGTGCAACTAGCCAGCTTTTTCCCCCAGGAGGAACCATTGAGGGACAATACAGAACATAACATGTTGTCAACAGGCCATACATTCCAGGGATGGGACACAAAAAAAGCACTAATCATTTGAACCCTGAGTGGCGTTTAATTCCCAACTGTGAAATGACAAGAGAGTAAACACTGTCTACAAAGTGGTGTGCATATTCCCAGGACCTCCAAAGAAGGCAAAGTATCATGCCTGATGTGACTGTTGACTCTGTGATTTAAAAAAAAAAAAAAAAAAAAAAAAAAAAAAGTCACTTTTGGCAGGTGACTCTCGGCACACTTGAGAAGCCAAAATTTCTCTGCTGAAAGCCTTATAGTGGCACAATGACAATTTTGTGGAGAGGGCTGTCACTGTTTGTCTTGCACTGTGGTTTCGACTGAGGTCAGAGCCAAGAGAGAATCCTGTACTGACCACATTCCTCAACCCCTCCCTGGAGAGCAGCTAAAAGGCTGTTGCTTTTCATCAAAAATGCCTCCTATCATGCTGGTCTGAAGGGGAATGATCACATGAGTTAGCTCTTTAAAAAAGGCCAGGCTGAGCATTCTGAGCCTATGGATCTCACCTGCTCAGGTCATCTTCCTGATGTCTCCATTGTTGGCAGCAGCTGCCGAAGCCACCAACTGTGTTCATACTTTAGCTTGTGGCACATGCTCACCAAGGAAACTACCCTTTAAAAAGGCCTGAAATACTCGGCTGTGCATTTAGGCACAATCAGCGGGGGTGTTGGCTCCCACTTTCCCAAGGCACAGGCTCACATGGGTCAAACAGTTCTGCCTACAGCTATTACTCACGCCCACCTCCAGCTTTCTCCAGTGCCAATGACAATTGCTGAGCAAGGACCAGCCGTTTCACACATGTGTATTCATTGCTGTTTTCTCCAGAGGGATGTAGAAGAAATGTGTAGATAATTTAAAGATTGGTGAATTACCAAAATATATAAATTAATAACTAAATTGTGTGTAACTTTTATCCTACTTTGGCCATAAAGGAAACCACCGATGCCCAGCACAGGTGTTTATGGGTAAAGTGTTTGGCGAGTCCAGAGTGCAGTGGTTTACTGAGGCCAAGGAAGTCATTGGATTTATGTAGAGGCAGAACAGAGTTTATTATTTATGAATGTTGTGGTAGATATTCATAGTAAAGCAGGAGCGTGTTTATAATCTCTGCCTCCATTCTAAAAACATCCTCACACACCCAATTAATCATGGTTCCTCCCTCCCTTCATCAAGGAAATATCCTTGTGAAGCAGGTAGGGTCTATCACAGAAAGCCATAAATGATTAAAATGCCAAGAACAACAGACTGTGGAGTGTCCCGCCTGGACCCCTACACCTAAGGCTCAGGAGCATTGCTAACGAGGACTGGGACAATTGTAAAAGCCAGAGGACCAGGATGTCTGATGTGATATAGTGTCTTCCATATGGGACAGAGAAACTGCACTCAGGAAATCTTAACAAATGTTATCACCTGAACAGACCCGCACAATGACAGTATCAGTTGACAGTATCAGTGTGGACAGGGGAAATCTAACAGGGCACCCTCCCATGAAGAACCATAGGCAATTAATTAATGGTTTCAGAAAGAGACAGAGAGACAGAGAATTAGTTTCCTCCTGGGGTGAGCCCCCTGATAGGTTATTCAGTACCAACTACTCAGCCCTAAACACACACACATATGAGCAACACTTAAGTGGTTTATATAACAATAACAATTAAAGAGGAATAGGTCATGAACTTGAGAGGGAGTAGGGAGGATGTGGGAAGAGTTGAAGAGAGGACAGGGGAAGGAGGAACAGATGTGAATACAATATGAATGCAGGAAAATTTCCAAAAACATGTGTTTTAATTAGTAGAAGGGGTAAGTCCAGTTTTCCCTATTGGGGAGATGATGAAATCTAAACAAACAAATAAACAAAAATATATAAGCATTGCTCCAAGAACGCAAAGGCGTGAAATCTCTTTCCAGAAAGTAACTTCCTTTTGGTTGGTCCCAGGATTCAGCCTTTTCCATTTCCCAGTGTGATATTCCTAGAAGAAACACCAGTTCCCTGAAGTGCCTTGTTTCACACTTTGTTAGCCAAAGGGAGGGGCATGCATGCCTCTTTAGAATACCTTCATCCCTGCCTGACCAGTTCCATTCCCCCAACACCTTGTTTTAGTTCTTCTGTCTTGAAATACAGTATGTCTGTGTCTGGGCAAATACCATGAACAGAATACAAGTAGGAGCCAAGGTTAAAATGCCAGGTAGCTGTGCTTAAGAACTGTTCCTTTATAATGTCCCCGACTTTTAGTAGTTTTTGGAAGGTGGCACCAACAACTCTATCTTTGTTTGAGACAAGGTTTCACCATCAAGCCTAAGCTGGTTTCAAGCTTATGATTTACTTGTTTCAGCTTCTGAAGCATCACAGGCAAGCACTACTGTGCCCAGCATGCTAAATCCTTAATGGTGGAATGGGTGCCATGTCATGATCACGAATGCCTGTTCTGAAAGATATTTCATTCTGCAGCTGATTAATTAGATAAGAAATCCTAAGGAAAAGAGTAGTGGGGTGGGGTACATTTCTGTAGGGACAGTGGTTGACTACAATACCTATTACTCCTTAGCCACTGAATGGCTTTCTTTTATTAGTAAAATGTGTGTGCAGAAGCACACAGGAGGATGGCAGGTGTCGGGCCCCTTCATTCCCTGCCTCATTTCCTTGCGACATCATCTCTCATTGAACCCATAGCTCTCCATTTATGCAAGTGTGGCTGACCAATGACCGCCAAGGGTGTGTCTGTCCCTGTCCATCAACACAGTTACAGGCATGCATGGCCATAGCAGGGGTCTTGGTTTCTTTGTTTGTTTGCTTTGTTTGTTTGTTTGTAGATGGGATCTGAGGATTCAAACTCAGATCCTATGCTTAGGCATCGGACAATCTCACCCACTGAGGCATCTGCATAGCCCACTACACTTTATTCTTCCAGCAGTTTTAGGTCTGCAGAAACACCGGACACACATTACACAGTGGCCTGTTCTCACACCAAGGGATGCTCTCTGTTACTGGAAGCTGGTATCTCTGTCAGCATCTGCCCCTCCTGATGGCCCAGGCTGCTGTGATGTTGTCGACTACAACCCGCTGCAGCTGCCTGGGTGTTTGTTGCCTCCTACAGTCTCTGGGACTGAAAGAGCAAATGGTGCCATGTGCCACCTTGGCAGTTTATGTGGGATAGTTTTCCTACCCTAAAAGTCACCACGATGACTTAAAAGGAGAGTCAAGAGGCTGCTTGAGCCCCCTTGCTTAGAGTAACAAGGCATTTCAACTGTTGTATATTGGCCAAAAACACGTGAAACACAGCTACTTTGTGAGTCTCTATCCCTAACATCTTCCTTGTGACATTAGTTTCTCATCTAAAATTGGATACTAAATGATACTGTTCTCCGAACCAGACAATGAGAGTACTATGGGAAGAGAGAGACATTTATTGCATAGTGGAGCTTATCAGGGGGAAAATGGCATAATTTGCCACACGCCTTTCTTCATTGTCGCTTCTGCTTCTCTTCCTTTCACAGATTCTATTCAAGAGAGAAGGAGGGGCAAGTTAGACCATCATGGTGTGAATTAGCATCTCTGCATCGGAGGCCTGGCCTGGGATTCCTGAGAATTGCTCAGAATGTGATCCAAATGACAGAGGAGACCTCAACAGCTACAAAAAGCAGCCTGCTTAGAACCAAAGACAGAGTGAGAGATCCCACAGGAAGATGAGGTAGGCTGGTCAGGGGACAGAGACACAGCCTCAAAAAGGGAACTCATTTCTCAACAGGAAGGACCACAGAGACTCCTTGGAGAGGCTCTAGCCAGGTGCTGGCCTGTGATTGGTGGATGAAGGAGCCAAGGAAAGCAGTGGCTGGCCAGAGGTGGTAGTAATCTGAGATGGGGCTGGAGACCAAATTTTCACAAATCCACCCACTCACTCATTCGTTCATCCATCAGTAAATCTGTGTGGTAAGCAAGAATACAGGAAGCATACATGGAGGACTGTGAAGATAAAAAAGGACAGTATTGACATCCAGTAATATTTAAAGTCATAGACTAGTGGCGAAGATGGGTGTCACTGAGGTTTCACATGCCTGACTATGGAGACCCAGGACAATCAGCTCCCTAAGAGGGTGGTGAGTGAGGTGCTCTTGGGTGAACTGGACAGGGCCTGGGGCTGGAGGTGAAACCCAGGGTCTAGTGAGAAATACCCACTGTGTGAGACTTCTGTGTGAGGCAGGAGACAAAGGAAACCAGGATGCCAACAAGGTTTCAGTCAGGGAACACACTCCTAGGGGCATTGTCCAGAGGCCACAGCACTTGGGAGCTCAGACTGCATCCTTCAGGCTAGTAGAACTTGTTTTAAGTGGCCTTGGTGACTGAGCCTTCGAGAATAACAGGAAGAAACTGTCAGGAAGATTTAGTACACATTTGGCTAAAAAGGAAGAGGAGCAGAGAAAGAGGAGAGGGGCAGAGCCATGGAGCGCTGCGGAGGAAGGGCTGGCAGAACTCACCGCACCTCGGGTGAGGAAGGGGGGAGGCCTGAACTTCATGTCTCTGGTGTGCTAGCCTCAACGAGGAGAGAGAGGAGCCGGTCTCTAAGGAAGAATTTTGGTTTAAATTTGCAGTGGAATAATCAACACAAGTGGGCGGCATGCTGTTGCTCATGAAGCCCAGAGTTCGACCCAGAAGGATGGATCAACCCCAGACAAGCACATCAAAGCATAGAGGATGCGTGGAGCCACCAGACGGGAGGAAGGGCTGACGTCCAGGCCCTAGGGAACATGACCATTTGAGGAGTGGAAAGAAGAGCGTTCTGTGATGAACAGGGAGCTCTGGCCAGAGAGGGGAACCAGGGAAAGGAGGAAGTCTCGGCAGCAAGGGGGTCTCAGGACAGAAGCGGTCACCATTATCCAAACCAGCCATGGGGTTCAGTGAGGGAAGAGGTGGATGCCCAGGTGAGGAGGGAGATGGCAGGGCGAGGAGAGAGTGGATGAAGTCCATAGACAATATGGACTACAGTTTTAAGAGGATAGGATGGGCAGAGAGCAAGAGATGTTTAAGAGGAAGCAAGGATATACTAGAGATTTTGTTTATGTGTTCACTTGCTCACTAATAAATATTTGCTTGTACCTGAAAGTCAATTCTCATGGCTTCTTGTTCATTCGTGTACAAGCTTAGTGTGATCCAAACCATGGACATCCTATCCGTGTGTTCTCCACTGAGGTCCCTCGAGGAAACATCCTGTCTTTTGTCTCCATTTCATGTTCTAAACAGAGCATCCTTTTTGAAGTTTATTTGCTATTATGGATTTCCCCCCATATTTTGGCTTTGTGCTAATAAGTTACTGTTTAAAATTTCTTGCCAGTGCAGTATAGTATCCCTAAGTCCAAGAAGGCTGGGCCAGACTATATGGGCAAACCTATATGTGCTTTGTGAGTATGTGATGCGCTGTGTGTTTATGCCTGAATACTGGTCTCTCTCAGATGTGATGCAAGGACTCTACCACTGAGCTATAGCCATAGCCTTCCTGTGCAGGAGTCAAACTCGCCATTGGAAGACCCCAATGGCCCAGAGTCTATCATCTTAACCACTTGGCCATAATCATGAGTCAGCCATAGCCTTTCTGATTGTTATTTTTCATTCTGAGAAAAGGTCCCACTAAGTTGCACATGCTGGCTTTGAACATTCTTTGTAACCCAGAAGGTCTTGAACTTGTGATCCTCTGGCCTCAGCCTCTTGTGTAGCTGGGACCACTGCCCTGTACCACCAGGTTCGGATTGGATGTGTTGTTCTCTAGCCTGAGTTACATCACATTGGGTATGCATTTAAATATTATTTTTTAAATGAAGAATCAACAATTCTATACATTCTATAAGGCCTCTAATCAGAAGCATACTTGAAACAATGTTGCATGTCAGGAACACAGCTCTGAGTCACCTAACCTTATGCTTCTTCTAGATGCAGTGGTTTAGTAATTCCATGTCTTTATGTATATAGACCATAACTACTGCTGATCATGGGAGCTCACTTTACCTGGCAAGACAATTGTTAAGAGATGCAGTGTGCAGGAATGAAAGCCAGGGGAAAGTGGAAAATGGAGAGTGGTCAGGTTCTTGCCTCTTGGGCCCCAGTGCCCCCCCCCCCTTTCTTTTGAGTCCTGGCTTCCTTTGCTAGGTCTGAAACCTGAACAATGAAATCACTCCCCAAGAGGTCAGGTGTTAGGGAACAGTGCCCCCACCTGGTTGTTGTTGGTAGGTATGCTGCTCACATTTGAAAAGTTACTGCCAGTTGGCAAGAACACACACAGGGCCTCTCAGCACATGATGAATGGATCTCAAACACTGAAGTTTCATATAGCAATGTATCACAAGGGGGGAAAACAGAGGTATAGGAAGCAGACCTCAATCCCAACAGCATCTGTGCAAGCAGGGCCTCTCTGAACACCTTGCCCCCTCTCTAAGAAACAGGTGATCACTATATAATTGACGTAGGCAATGGGTGTGAAGGGAGTAAACACACTTGTGAGTGATGGTCTTCTTGGGTGCAGTGGCTGGGTGCAGAGAGGACACTTGATAACAGTGTCTGCAGGAATGAGTGGGAAAAACCATGGGGCTGATCTTTTCACTACTGACTTATGGAGAAAAACCATCAAACCTGCCTCTGCCACTGTTCTTGAGTACGAGTCAACAATCCTATGGACAGCCACAGGGCAGCATAAGGAAATATGCCCCAGCTCAGGTCCTGCTGGCCACTCCACAGCTCATAAGACAGAACTTTCCTGGCTACAAAGATTAAAAAAGTGTGGACTCTCAAGTAGACCCTTTTCAACATGAGAACTGGGCCCTGGTTTTCCAAACTTGCTATTATAGAGCCCCACTAACAAACAACATCATGGCTCTTGCATTAGATTGCACATTTCTCTCTCTACTCATGTATTAAATCATTTCTGGCAACCTTAAAGAAGCCAGGACAGTATTTACTAAATTATAGACACATTTTCTCAGCTTCTATTTTAATCCAGGGACTGGGGCAGGCTCGTGATAAAGTGAGAAAAAAAAAAAAAAACATGATTCACAATTTTAAAATAGTAATCTCACTAATGGTCAACGGTCCACTCATTCTATCCTGGTTATCTAATGAAGTTAACAAGGGATAATTTTCATAAATAATTTTATATGGACATTAGGGATATCTTCACTAGTCACCAAACTAAAATAATAAGGATGGCCGGGTAAGGCACCTGCAAAGAGCCCACCGTCTAATGGGCAGAAAAAGAAATGAAGCCTGACAAGCGGTGCTGAGGTGGAGCTTGGAGGTGCTGAGTCCTGCTCTCAAGGCTGGATGCCTGGTGGAGGCCACGCTGGAGGGTTAGAAAGAGGCCAGATTCCAGAGCACACTGGGGCTGCCTCCTCACTAGACCCAGTCTGTGGCCATTGCTAGCTTCATTTTATGAGTCTAGGCAACATGGTGGGCTGTTTCATAAGATGCCCAGCAAAAGGTCACACGAGGGCAGAGATTTAACTGGGACACTAGTAAGAATCAATGTACAGGCCAAGGCTTCTGCATTTGGTCTTCGGTCCACGCTGCACATAAAAACGCGTGTTTTGGGTGAATCATGTCTCTGCAGATGTTAGGTGATGCAACTGTATTGCGACACATGCGTGCATGCACACTTGAGGTAACCATATCATTAGTAAACAAATCATAGCCAACCCACTGAAAATTCGACCCTCACACCCTGCCCACACTCCAGATGTTCTATGGGGCGGGCAGTTTTGCATGTATGTAAAGAGTATGATGAGTCTCTTTCTTCATAATGAATAGTTTCTTGATCTCAGTAAGAAGATGGCTTTTATTTTTAGATTAAAAAGAAAATCTGCCACTCGCATCTTTCATCGATAGTGAATTTTCTCTCTATTTTAGTAAAATGTCAGTTGACTTCTTTCAAATTGTAAGTCATTAAAATTAATTGTGCCATGCTTAGCTGTCTTTTAGGCAAAAGTCTCTCAAGAGCCCGATGTGAAAGATCCCAGCACTAGCTCAAAAGACACTGACTGAGCGTGGATGTGCCCAGTGTCGTGGACTGATTACAGAACTCTGGGACAGCAACCCTGAGAGTGTTTGTCTGTGTGCATGGATGTGCACTGCATGTGTGCCTTGTTCCCTCAGAGCCCAGAAGAGGGAATTGGATCCCCTGGAACTGGAGTTACAGATTATTGTGAACTACCATTTTAGGGCTGATAACTGAACCTAGGTACCATGGGAGCTCAGGGGTGTGGTGGGTGTGGGCAGGAAAAAGCCAGAGGTGTGTGTAGAGCTGAAGCAGCAAGGCTGTTGTGATCCATTGGGGCATTCAGATCATGTTTGAAAGTATGCAGTCTTGCAGACACGATAAAGTGAGCAGAGAGCTGCAGAGGTGGCCCAGCAGTTAAGATCATTTGCTGCTCTTGCAGGAAACCCAGGTTCAGTGCCTGGCACTTGAGGGCACCAGGCACACACATGGTGTATATGCATACATGCAGGCAAGCATTCATCCACATAAGTTAGATGAATAATTTCCTTAAAAATTTAAAGTGCATGAATGCTAAGGTTTTGTTAGTAATTTGTGTTTGCACCTGTGAACGTGGCTGCCCTAGAATCCACACCTGGAATTCCAACTTTTCATTTGTTTTTAACTTTTAAGACCTATTTATTTTACTTGTATGAATACCTGCCTGCATGTATGTGTACCACATACATGCCTGGCCTCCACGGAGGTCAGAAGAGGGGGCTGGATCCCCTGGAACTGGAGTTACACATGGTTGAGAACCACCACGTAAGTTCTGGAAACCATGTCATCTGCAAGAGCAGCAAGCACTCTTAACCACTGAGCCATCTGTCCAGCCTCTGCATTGTAGTTTAAGCTTCCTTTCCACTGCATCCTTCCTGGAATCCCTGAGATACTTGTGAGTTTTCAGAATACTTATTCTATTTGCTCTCATGGCTGCTGATTGAGAATGTGTATAGTGGTGAGAAGACTCCACCACGCTGGGTGACAGGTTAGCAGACCAGAGCTCAGTCTACAGTTCCCCAAAGCACCAGGGAGAATGTAAAAGCCATTGTTGTGTTTTTCTCAATGTCTGGGTTTTGCATATCTCTGTTTTAGCCTGCAAGTGAAGTCAACATCAGAGGGCAGCTGTGGAGGATCAAGGTCTCCTTATCTTTTCAGGATAAACCCAAGGGCAACAGGCAAGGCAGGCAGTGTGAGATGAAGTCCTGGGCCTGGAATGCAATCAGTTCTTCAGTAGCAGAGGAAGGACAGGGCAGGCTGAAGTCAGACACATGTGCCTGTACAACAAGCAACCTTGCATCCCATAGATAACAGGAGAAGAGGAAGGACAGAAAAGAATGTTCAGTGATGCTCCCCAGAACTTTAAGTTGGGAAAATTAGGTGGGTAGCAATGGCATCACAAGAAAGGACTTCCTTCCGGACCCAAGGCCAGTGCCTCCTGCAGGCAGTGAACCTAAGGACCCGGATCTTGGGAGAGTGTGATGCATTTGATGATAGCCTACACATCAATGACACTAATGGACAAGTAAGAGGAAGAGATAGAAGAGACAGAGAGCTAGGCTGAGAGAGCACAAGTGGCCTGTAGGGCTGAAACTTGACAAAGAAAGAAAAGCCAAAAAGGATTCCATGAAAAATGGTATGGAAGGAAGGAAGTGTTGGGAGAGAGGCTGGGTAAAGCGGGGCTATTCTCTTTCTGGTTTGTAAAGTAGAGAGACTTGATCATGGCAGTAACAGAAGACGACATAGGGGAAAGATGGGGGTCCACAAGTGGAGGCACAGTTGTTGGAGGAGGCAGGCAACAGAAAGCCAGAGTGGGCATTAAGGAGCACGGGTAGGAAAGCTGGGGAGCCATGGCATTTACTCCAAGTTCCTTCTGCTTCTAAAGGGTCATAATGTGAGTGTTGACCCTTACCTCTAAGATGTCACTCTAAGCCAGAATTTATTCTTGCTCTGTGTTGGAGGTTCTGGAACCTTCTATGTGCAGGAGGATGTCCCCTTCTCACTTTCTCTAAAGATGGACAGGAGAAGCAGAAGCTCCGTCAGGCATAAATTATTGAGAACAAGCCAAGCATAACCAGAGCCCTCACTGCCCACAGAACACCCAAGGCACCATTTCTTGTTTTCCTCAACGGGCCCCAGGCCCACTCATGCCGCAGCCTCACCCACAGCTGACTTCTCACTCTGTAGCCCACGTGACGCCCTCGGCCGCAACTGCAAGTCCTCAAGGGCAGGAACTGTCACGTCTCTCTTTCAGTCCTCCATGGAAGGTCTCCCATGCTTGTCACACACATTTGTGGAATTAAATTAAATCATTATGTTCAAAGGCATCTCTGAGACAGCTGTACATCTGCATTAATGATGCTCCAAGGCCCAAATGTGTTTAAGTGTTGGCTTAGAGATGCCTTCTGACACACACAAGAGGACTGGTCACACGAATTTACATCTGAACCACATTTTTCACCTCTTGTTCTCTCTCTGCATCAACCCCCTTTGTGTGTGTGTGTGTGTGTGTGTGTGTGTGTGTGTGTGTGTGTGTGTGACTATGTCCCTGTCTCTGTCTCTGGGTCTTTCTGTCTCTGTTTCATTTTGTTCCTCCAGTGTTCTCTGTCTCTTTGTCTCTATATCTCTCTCTTTCTCTTTCTCATTACTGGGGAAATCTGGCATGTTTTAGGGGCACTCACACATCTCTCTCAAGATAGCCATGTAGTAAGAAACTAGTTTTCTATTCAAAGCCCATGGGGACCTAAGACCTTTCAACAACCAAGTCAGGACTTTGAATACCAATCCATTGGCCCCAGTCAATGTCAGCTGGAAAGCACCCATCAACAGCCTATCTGCCTAATGTAGAGACACCCTACTAAGCTGCTCCTGTGTTCTTAGCCCCAGAAACTCCAAGATAATTGCGGCTTGCTGGATATGGTAATGCATTGGTATGTAACAGTAGCAATTGGTAGTAAAGCCCCCACATAGATTATCCATCTGATTCATCAGATTTATTTCTTGCTTTCCACCATTTCCAGAACCAAATCCCAAGAGCTACCAGTTCCTACTGTGGTAGACATTCAAGGAATAGGCTGCAGATTCTGAAGGCAATTCTGCAGGAAATATCCAAAAGAACACTTGAGCAGTGGTCATGGCATGTCAACTCTGTGTGTGTGTGTGTGTGTGTGTGTTTGTGTGTGTGTTCCCCCAAAAAGACAAACCATGGGGAGGGGATTAAAAACTTAAGTTTCAGATTTAATTACTAGCACTTGGGATCAATTGGAGCATGAAGATGAGACCTGGAACTTCCTAATTTGTGATTATCAGTGCCACTTAATATAACAGGGCTCTGGACAGGGTGGATTTCCCAATGCTAGAAAGAAGTGTGGAACATGCACAGGCCTGGGAGATAGATAGGTTCAAAGTCCTGGCCTCTGTGCAAGTCACATGGCTGGGGACAACAGGGTGCATCCTGACTACATAGAAGAGGTTGAGTCCTGACTCTAAGGGGAACACTGCCACACACTGGACCCTATAACTCAGATAACGCATGCAGAGGGAATAAATGTGTACAAGTATGGGATCCTCTTATAGGGAAACTGCTCCTCCCGCCTACAGAGGTGTTGGGACCATTGAATGGAGAAAGAGCTGCAGACAGAGAGAAGTACCTTACCAAAGCCTCCAGGGAGGGTGAGAACACAGTGCAGCCAGAGTCTGGTGTGAGAGTCAAAGGGGGAAGCCCTGGTAAGCAATAAGTGTGGGGTATGTACTCTGTGTTTGCCAATAAACGCCACGTGCTTTCAATACTCAGCTCTTCTGGGTTTAAGTGGAGAGCACAGGGCTGACAGAGCCACCCAGAAACTGAATAAGGAAACTGTACAGGAAAGGACTATGGGTCCAGTCTCTTCCATTTGCTGAGAAGTCTGGTCAAGTCTGGCAAAGGAAGGAGATAGTCAGAGGGAAGGTGGCCCAGAAAATGCTCTGGCTGGATCAAGAAGAAAGGTCAGCAATGACTTCCCAAGTTGATTTAACATTTGATTTCTAGTAATTTTATGTGAGGTAGTGCCTCCAAGTTACCTTCTCCTGGTTTACAGAACAAGTTTATATATTAATATTCTTGTTTGTGGAAATGGTTTCCTATTTCAGGCTCTGTCCTTGGTGCAATGGCCCCATTGATGAGCAAAGTTTCTAGTGGCATTTCACAGAAGGAAACAGACCACTTACCAAGTGAGCGCTCCTGGAATCGTTCACTTCTGGATTCATCAGAAAGAAAACCTGTAACACATTAAGAACCATCAGGCCAGATCTCCCCACCCACTTCCAGAGTCATCTGTAATTGTAGAGCTGAACCTTAAAATATGTCTCTTAAACAGAGGAGCAGTGTATGATGGCAGAGAATTTTACTGACATTAACGCCAATAAGAAAACTCATCAGAAACATAAAGGAATGGCTTCTCAATATTAGAGCATGAATCTGATGCCATTTATAGTTAAACATGGCACAGGGAAGGGGAAATGAAGACCCTTCTACCACCCAACCAAGACACCTTGACAGACAGTGACATGAATGCCAGTCACATGACTGGAGATGACTGAATCTACCCTGATTAGACACATAACCAAACATTACACCCTACAGCATGGGTGGAGCATGAAGGGGGAACAAGCATGTCCATGTGGGAGGCACTCATAACGTTTGTGTGCTGGTTAGTTTTTTTGTCAACTTGGCCTAAACTAAGTCACCTGAGAAGAGAAAACCTTGACTGAGAAAATGCCCTTACCAGGTTTGCCTGTATGCATTTTCTCCAGTGATGTGGGAGGGCTCAGCCCACTGTGAGCAGTGCTACTCCTGGAGAGGTGGTCTTGGGTTGCATTAGAAACCAGGCTAAGCAAGTTACAGAGAGCAAGCCAGTGAGCAGCATTCTTCCATGGCCTCTGCTTCAGTCCCTGTCTCCAGGTCCCTGCCTCAAGTTCCTTTCATGATGGGCCAGTATTGAGATGTGTAGGCCAAATAAGCCCATTCTTCCCACAAGCTGCTTTTGGCTGTGGTGTTTTATCCCAGCAACAGAAACAGACTAGAACAAGAGGAGGCTGACATTGGCCCTACTGGCCCACAGTTGGGACCACTGAATGCAATCCTATATGGAGAACTCTGTAAAAATATTTAAACAAATGGTTGCATCATTGCCCAGTGAGATAAGAAAGGAGCAAAAGTAAAACCAAGTGTTTGCTTTTTGTAATGACTTTAATTGTTCAAAGGTTATCTGTAGAAAAACTAGTTATACCTAGCTTTAAGTGATTCCCAGAGAGCTGTAATTTGAAGTTCATGAAAGAAAAACAAATAATATTAAAGGCCATGAATCTCAACTTACCAAGCAGATAATTGTTTCTCCGTCTATAGGATCTTGGCATGTCCTCAAAAATCATCTAAAGAAGTTTAAATATCAGGATGAAAAACAAAACTGTAAATGCTGCATAGAGGACTCAGACATATAGTGCATTCAGAAAAATAAGAATAGCTCTCTGTGGTATCTAATGTGTAGTATATTCAAGAGAGCACAGTAAGAAGCTGGGGAGATGGCTCAGTGGTTAAGAGCACCGCTGGTCTTCCAGAGGACCTGGGTTCAAGTCCCAGCATCCACATGGCAGCTTAAAACCATCTGGAACTCCAATCCCAGTGGATCTGATGCCCTCTTCTGGCTTCCTCAAACTCCAGGCACACATGTTGTGCACAGACATACATGCAGACAAAATACTCATTTACATGAAATAAAATAAGCAAATAAATTAATTAAATTAGTTTGAAAGGAAGACAACACAGGAAAAACAGGTGGGATGATGCATACCTGGATCCAAGACAACCCTGGGCTATAAAGTGAGACTTTGCCCTCCCCACAAAGAAAAGAAAGGACAGAAGCAAGCAAGGAAGGAAGGAAGGCAAGAGGAAGGGAGGAAGGGGCAGGAAATCACATAGAGAAGAGTAAGTTCTATGAAGTTTAAGTCGAAGCCAAAGCTTTCACTGGCCCAGTATGTGCTTCTAAACACCGCAGAGCAGGAATGGAACTTTATAATTAGACCAAGTTTCAGTCAAAAGGTTCAGAAGAGAAGTCTCTATAGAATTCCAATTTACATCCATGAGATCAAAAGTGCCCCAAACTGTTTGTATAAAATGCCAAAGTCCACAAATAGTCAAGAAGGGAAGCCTCCCGCCTTTCTGCCTGCCAGCTCTATCCTCAGCAGCCACCATGAGGCTCTGGCTTCCAGTCCTGGCGACAGATCAAGGGGTGAGGACTTAGCAATGCAGTGCAGTGAGCAACACTAGAACAACCAGAAGCCACATGCAAAAGAATGGTATTGGACCATTTCTCCATACTGTGTATAAAAAACTGAATCAGAGTAGATCATCAATATAAGGCCTTAGTGTTTGTAAGTGTTCACAAACAATAAAAGAGACAGGAGTTGGATGTAATAAAAGGCATCACAGGGTAGGGGGACATGCAAATTGAGGGGAAATATTCACCAAGAAGTCCATGATAAAAAAAGATAACTAGAACACAGGAACTGACATTTTCCCCTAAGACATACAAATGAACAGTCATGAGAAAATGCAAATCAAGAAATAACAAAGTAGTTCTTTGCACATTATAACATGGCTAAAATATAGACAGGCAGGAATCAATGGAGAAGATGTAGCAACAGAAGCTCTCAGCCATCTAGGATGCTGCTAGACTGCAATCCCAACACTTGGGAGGCTGAGACAGGTGGATCAAGGATAATCTGGGCTACATACTAAGGCCATTCTGTGCTACATAGTAAGAGCCTATCGAGAGAGAGAGAGAGAGAGAGAGAGAGAGAGAGAGAGAGAGAGAGAGGGATATTACCTATTCTGTTTCTCTGGAGAATTCTGACTCAGAGACTCATAGATTGACTGGTTAAATTTTGGTGATTGTGGAGAGCTTGAAAGTTTCAGGTTTAATCAAATTCTCTTGGGCTATCATAGCCTCCAGTGGCCTTTTATTGTCCCCTTCTCTGTATGGCCTAACATTCTTGTGATCATCTAGTCAAATCCGTTGGGAACGTACAGATAGATCCCTAGATCCTAGCAACCCCAAAGCTGAAAGTGGCATCAGATATATGTGAGGCCTCTAGCCGTTACCCCTCTCTTTGCTGTAACCTACATGAAATTTGCACAATGGTATTTGAAAATCCCTTGGTTGTGTACTTTAATTGTTCTGCTCCTATAGAAACGTGAAATAAAAAGCAAACTATCATGCTGGGACATAGCATTTGGGGTCCACTGAATCTGTGCTCCCAGGCCATGGTCGCACATATTTAACTCCCAAAGGAACTACTTCTTATTTCCTTTGAGGTAAGAGTTGTGTTGCTGTATTTTGTGTTGGGGGAGTGGGGTGGGAAGAAGTAGGATTGTGGGGAATGAGCCAGTAGTTGTTCAAGGGAGAATCCAGCTGTGTGAGCAGAATTCCATCTACTGGCATCTGGACGATGACGCAACTATCCCATCAAATAGCTCAGCTTCCACAGACCATGCCCAGAACCAGCTGGAAGAGAGCCCTCCGTCATACCTCTTCACTGCTGTCGGACTCAGATGTGGAGGCCCAGCGGCAGTGAGCCCACACATCTTGTGCCTGTCCCTTGGACATCTGCACGGTGCTCCTGCAAGCAGCTGTTGGCTGGAAAAGATGGAGTTGTGAGTTGCTTCTTTAGCCCCCTGTGGGAGGAGTTAGCCTCTGGACAATAAACTAGGAAATACTGCAGGGTTTGCAAAATGAGGCAAAAAGGAGAAATTCACAGAGGCTGTTTAATTTTTCAGAGTGAACCCTCCGCAAGACCTCAACAGCAATAAGCGGAATGTTTAAATATCTCTATAGGCTTAATACCAGTCTCCAAGAAAAGTCTGCCCTCCCTCGTGAGTACGAAGGGCTGTCTGATATCTATTCTTGCTTTAACAGAAACAAGTGATAGAGATGCCATACATTTGCCATATAGGCATATACACACAAACATACATGTATATATCTCTATAGAGATATAGTCAAATGCCATATAGTCAAATTAAAATCTTAGGGCCAAGTCACACACACACACACACACACACACACACACACACACACGCACGCACGCACGCACGCACGCACGCACGCACGCACACATACACACACGGCCTTAAGATTTAATTAGAAGTGCATGCATGTGACAGTCCTCTGCAAGACACAATCCCACTGAAGTTTCAGGAGATAAATAATGAGGTCTCAGGAAGTTACTCATTTGGCTGAAAACATTCTGGGTCTGGACTGATGGTTCCATCCTGGTTAGAGAAGGTTCTGTCCCCCAACAGCTGACTATTCCGGGCCCAGGGAACACAGAACTAAACAGGCCATGCGACCTGAATGAGAAGGGGAGACACACGGTGGGCAACACTGTCGCGGGCAGTGCGCCCAAGTGAGGCTCACTCATGTGGGGCAGTTTCAAGTGTGCTGGGACCTCCCTTCGCTGTAGGCCCCTTTACATCCACTGTGCCTGGTAGAACCCTCCCCGCATGTGAGACTGGCATAATACCTACTGGAGATTTCATCTGTACTTTAGCGAACAGGACACTGGGTCAGTAAGGGTTAAAGAACTGACCAATAACACCAAAGACTTCAGATCCCAAGCTCAAGAGCCACTCCCTTATCACAGTCCATGGCAGAAAATGCTGCAGTGACCCAGTGTGTGGCTGAGTGCCAGACAGGTAGTGACCAAAGTCCTTTGGTGACCCCTGACCCACTCCAGTCATGGAAGTAGTGAGGGTCTCCCTTGTATTACTTCCTGGGTCACTTACCACGTAGTAGCCCCTTTGGAATGTACAGTCAGAGGTATCATCAGACTCTCTCAGGCATGTAGTTTCCTGAACACTGAACTCCAAGGTCATGACTAAGGTGTCTTCATCCAGGACATTGACCTTCACAAAAGCAAAGCATGGGTTTGCAATAGACATATTTCTGAGATTCATGGGGCTGGCATGATTCTTGCTGCCCAGTGAGAAAATGTTGGTAGAATCACCTACTCACTGGGAAAGCTATGTGTTGTCATAGCAGCATCCAGCAGCAGCATGCAGACATGCACTCACGCTGAAGCCCACAGAGAAAAGCCGTGCAACGTTGACAATCACGGAACTAAAGAAGCTGAGTGTGGTGAGCACCCCTTGAATGCCAGCACTCAGAAGGGCTGAGGCAGGAGGTTTCAAGCTTGAGGCCAACCTAGCCTATATATAGAGAGAGATCTTATCCCAAAACCATAGTAAATGGAAGGAATGGAAGGAGGAGGGAGGGAGGGAGGGAGGGAGGGAGGGAGGGAGGGAGGGAGAGAGAAAGTACAGAATGTATGCCTTCACACCAAGGCCAACATTGCTTGTAAATGTGTTGCCGAAGTGAGCACCAACATTGCTTCTAGAGAAGTACATTGACAATGCTTTCTATGTAGAGTCCATACTTGTGAATTCACCTAGTCACCAAATATTATTTGCAACTCCTAAATTAGTCACCTAGATTTTGCCATTGTTCATGAACACATGCAAAGTGGCCAAACTTCAAGTCACCCAGTGTGCGTGTCCCCAACTAAAGGGAAGGAGGAGGTAAGGTGCTCTGCCTTCTTCCAGCCTGTGCCCTGTGAACATGGTGCTTGTATTCCATTGGGAAACTTGTGATTGTCAGTTTGGGGCTTTCTTTGGGTTGTCTCAGTCCCCAAGCTAGTGCTAGGGGCTGTCTGGCATCAAGAATAAGAGACTGTGATGTGCCTTATGTAGAAAACACATATATTCAGTAAGACTTCTTTGGGTGGGAATCCTAGGTTGCTGGACAGTGAGTTCAATGTTAATGTATCTACACTGTATATTATGTTAGGTACCAATAAGCTAAAATAAATAAATAAATAGCCTCACAAAATAAGGCTATACATTGAATGTGTCAATGGAAGTATTGTGACCCAAAGCTCTTGGGAACCTCACTCTGACTCTTTCCTAGGAGCCATGATCTAGTCTTTGCCAGTCCAGTCTGGAAAATAGCAAGAATAGACTTATGGACTTGAAGTGACATTTTCTTAATGAAGGTACCATACATATTCACCAGTTCCTAAAATAAGTCAATGAGCCACAGACTGTCTCCTGGTTGACACTTTTGACCTATGACTAAATCTGCATTGTTTTCTAATTCTTTCCACCAACAGTGGCATACCAGGGAACCTTTCAAACCTCCTGAAGAACCTGTGTGATCTGAGGACAGGGGATGTTGTACTATACCAAGCTCCTCCTTTGCACTGGGCACATGAGGCAGGGCAGTAAAGATGTTAGGCAGATGTGATTTCAGAATGGGTACCATCCCACAAATGTTTGGGAAAAAAAAAATGAACAAGACCATTATGTAAGTTTGTGCTTGAAGAATGACAGTAAAAACGTGATAATGGGGGAGAAGGGAGGAAGTAGCTGTGATATTTAAAAAAGAAAAAGAAAGAAAGAAAGAAAGAAAGAAGGAAGGAAGGAAGGAAGGAAAGGAAGGAAAGGAAGGAAGGAAGGAAGGAAGGAAGAAAGAAAGAAAGAAAGAAAGAAAGAAGGAAGGAAGGAAGGAAGGAAGGAAAGGAAGGAAGGAAGGAAGGAAGGAAGGAAGAAAGAAAGAAAGAAAGAAAGAAAGAAAGAAAGAAAGAACCTTCCAGAAGAGGAAAGATGTAAGCAGAGTCTCTAAGGACAGGGCTTCTTGTCTAAGGAAAGAGCAGAGTCCAGTGTCCCTGGACAAAGTTTGACCCTTGCTGCCAGGGAAGTGATTACTGCAAGGTTGGGAGATAGGGAATGTGAAACAGTAGTCTGTCAGCCGTGGGAAGCCTTTACAGAGCAAAGAGGCGACCCAGGCTTCTCTGCCCACCCACAGTAATTTCTGTTGCCAACGTCCACTTAGGATTCTATCTGGAACACATCTTTTAATTCTTCCCACAAGCAGGCTAGAGGGCTTGGTTTCCAGGACCTTATTTTCTGCTTCTCTTCAAATTACATACTCTGTCTTTATACTAACCAGCTCTCCTCCCATTTGAATGCAAGTGGCCAAAAGAAGCCATTGGCACTTGGCTACATGCTGTTCCTTCGTCAGACACCTTAGTTTCCTGATGGTGTGTAAGGCCATCTGACTAGTGAGGAAGCCTGAGGAGGTCTTCCTCACAGATGAGGGACATGATACTGAGGAGTAGTGTAAAGGCCACTTCTGTCCCATCATTTTACAGGACCTCGAGTGGTCCCGTGTGTAATTCCTGTTACTCTGTACAATGCAGAGTCCAAGGAGAGATCAAAGGGAATGCTGACTGACCAATATATTCAAGTGATGGGAACAGCAAAGGAGTGGCGGGAACGGGCAGGTAAGCTCGAGGTGGGAGAGCAACACACTAACACAGCAAGTGTCAGACTAAGTTCTGTTGGAATCTCATAAGTCACCTGTAAATGGCTTATCTATAGGTAAGTGAGGCTGAAGTCAGGCCTACGTGGCTATAGGCCATGTATAGGCTATGTGGCCACCTTTCTGCATATTCTGGGTTAGCTGTGTCTCACGGGCTAACCTGTCCATGGTGTTATGCTCCTATTTAATGAACTGCTTTGTTCTGTAGTGAGCAGTAGCTAAATTACAAGTGAATTTAAACTGTTGATCTGCAAGTTTGGCAAGAGGATGTGGGTTCTACAGCACTCTAAGAGAATTGCATCCAGTGCCAATGGAACATGGCCTGGATGCCAACAAAAGCAGGGTTGGAGAAATAGGCAGTTTCATTTTGATGTAGCTCTCTTCCAGAAGCAGTTTGGCTGGCAGCTGCCTACACCCACCTCCAAGTTTCTCCCCACAATAGTGTTCAGTGCCAACCTTGACAGTCGGGTCCTGGGGCTGGCGCCTCACTATAGCTCAGCCCGCATCTTCATGACCATACCCAACTACAAGAGGCAACTGAAGCTGATCAATGAATTTGCTTTGCATTTGGAAAAGAAAACATGGAGCAAGTGTCTGAAAAGGGGCGGGGGCAAAGGGTCTTGTTCTACATGAAGGCAAGCTGGGAAAGCAAAGGGTGTACTCTGTTGAGTAGCAGAGGAGCATGAGAGGTAATGGGTCTAGAATAGGATGGAGAAGAGAGAAAGCCATAGAGACAGTGGTGGCAGTGTGGCCTCTACATGCTGGTAGTGGCTGCCTGACCACGTGGCTGTGTGGCCTCCACCCTTGTCTCTATGAGCCTGGCTGCCCTCATTTCAGCAGAACATCAATCGCTTGGAGGACATTTCTGTCCCTACCTCCCCTCGAACTCCATCAAGCATATAAGACAGTGAAATCCTTGTGGGGGAGGCAGGAATCAGAGAGTTTCCTCTGCCATATTGCTCCATTTCTGCCTCATCCTTGCTACTCCGAGTCACAGTGAGCCCATGTTAATGTCACCTCCCCCAGGTCTCCAGCGATCAGGAAAGAGCACTATGAAGTTGACAAAGATGGGTGGGTTTCTTCGGCTCCGAAGCCAGTGTCCCTTTCCTATAAACACTGAGTGGGAAGAGAGGCTCCTCATTACAGCAGCTCCTTCCAATCCAACAGCATCCTAGGAGCCAGGGGCCTTCAGGACTCTTCACCCCAAATCAGGACACACACACACACAGGGAAGCCAAGGTCACAGGGAAAACACAGAAGGAAGAATCAGATGTCCCAAGAAGCCTTGAGAACCTCGGGGCACAAACTATAATTAAAATCTCTCCTCTGAAACAGTCAGCATGGAAAAGGACTGGCTGTGATCTTTGTAAACAGAATTAAAAAAAAAAAAAAAAAAGATCTATTCAACAAAGGAAGCAAAGGCAAGACAGAGGTAGTAAAGGGTGGGGACGGATCCCCGATCACTCACTCTCTTCAGGGAGTTCCGGGTCGCCTGAAACAGGTAAGGACTCAGGGATTGTGCGTTCACCTTTGCCACTGAGGCCTTGAGGGCTTCCTGCAGGGACGAAGGGTCGAAGTCATACACCGGGAAACCTGGACAGCAAGAACATAGGCCACGGTGAGAGGCGATGAAACCCTGAAAGACCTGCGGTCACCTAGAGCAGGTGGCTAAGTGTGTCCTTTACCTGAGGCACACCGGTGGTGCATTCCCAGGGCCAACAGAACAAGCATCTGCAGCATTGCCTGATCCATCCTAAGAAATGGGACTCAGAGCTAGGAGAAGGCCTCTCTACAGCTTCGGGAGGACAATTCTTTCCGAGGGCAGCTGTCTTATCCTTGCCACCTGTGACCTGGCTGGAGCAGTCCGGAACTCAAAAGAGATGACTGCCTCTGGTGTCAATATTTACTGCTGACTTGTCCTATGGAAAAGTTCCAGGTTGAGGCCACTTTTGAAGTTTGGACCTTTCCAAGGGACTTTAGCCCACAGCAGGGGACATTAGAGAAGCTTGGGTCTCCCTGCATGATGTTTATTTTCTCTCTTTGCATTTCATTCTTGCGAGGAGATATAACTGTAGACTGAACAAATGAGGGAATTTAAAGACATTGTGTATTTATTCCTCACCTGGTCCTCAAAATCCTACACGCTCATCTTTCATCCTCTCATCCCCGCTGCTTCCTAGAGACTGTACACACGCAGAGTGATTTTGCCTGCCTGCTTAGCTCTTCCTGTCTCCAGTGCATGACTGGGGCCATGATTCAGAAACCGCAGTGGCCATGCTGGTGACACAGAGCATAATGAAGTATGTGTTGAATGAGCGAGCTTGTGAATACACCGGGTCTCACTGAACTGTATTCCAGGTCTTTCATTTGAAGCTAGCACTAACTTCTGGTGTCCAGCAAGTACCCCGAGCACGCTGCTGGGAGACAATGATCACTAAAATTTGTAATTCCATTACTTTTAACCTGGTTTGAACTCAATTCCATTAGAGTCTTCCAGATTGAACTAACGTCACCATCTGGCTCCAAACACCCTGGTCTCATTAAATGAACTGCAGTAATAAAAGCAATTGCAGATGAGCGAAGGAGATGAAGGAGGCAACAATAGCATCGTGCTGCCAGCACAGGGCTATTGATTTTTGCTTGACGCTTGCTGGGGTGAGGAGGGGACACTGGGTTTCTCAGATTCTCTTGGCTATAATTAAGTGTTAGCACCAGGCGTGCAGGGTGGGCTCTGATGAGAGCTAAAAAGCGATGATTTTTAAATGCCCCTGCAGAATCCCATCATGTCTTGTAAACCCAGAAGATTAAATGTAAGCCATCCAGACACGCTCATGCTATGGTGATTTCTTGTTCTTCCTCCAATCTGCAGAAATGTGGGCCACATTCATCTCTACAATTTTCTGCTGCTCTAACCCCAAATGCTTGGTCCAAGGTATTCCGAATTGGGTGGCAGCAAGTGAAGCAGTGAATAGCTTTTTGCACACAGTCCCTGGAAAAGCATATAAAGGGCATCACAGACCATTTAACAGGAGCACCTGGAAATGCACCGAGCAAGGACCAGTGGGCGGGTGGCTGCATCATAAACGAAGATGCATTACTCTCCGTTTTTTTTTTTCTCCCAAGGACATTTTCATTCTCTCATCTCTACTGTCATATTATTTGCATGGGGGATGGATCACTAAATTTAGAACAAATGTAAAAATGGAATCTTCCACTGATCCCCAAACCATGAACTTCACAGCTGCCTTCTAATTTCTTATGGCAACGTGATTTCTAAACTGAGCTCCATGGCCCAAGAGTCTGCTTGCTAGCCTCGTCTCAGTATTTCTGTGGTCTGGAAATGCCAGTGGTGCAGTCAGGATGGTGTTCACGCCGCTCTCCCTCCCTCTCCCTCCCTCTCCTTCTCCCCCCAACCCCACTTCCTGCCTCCTCAATGCCCTATCAGTTCTTAAGAAAATTAAGGATTTGAGAAAACTTCCTGCTGTTTGTTTACACGGCAGCCACAACATTTCTGCCTCCCTATTAAGCATGTCCCAGAGGGTCCAATGTCCCCAAATCTTAACCAACACTTGTTGTTTTCTCTTCTCCAGATAATGGCCATCCAAGAAATGTCAAGTGAAACTTCACTCTGCCTTCAATTTGCATTTTCCTTGTGACTGGTGGTTGTTGGGCATCTTTTCACATTCCTGTCAATCATCTATACATCCCCCCCCCCCCGTTTGATTCATTTGAAGTTTTTGGATCAGCTAGCTGAAGACTTAGCCTTTTGCTGCCTTCCAGTGGTGGCTTCCAGTGTGGCTAGTTCCCTTCTATTGTTTTTCTAGTCTCTAGTTTTGTTTAGGTCTACCCTGGTCTTTATCACTTCATTTCTTCAACTGATCTGGAACATAGTCTTTTTTGTTTTGTTTTATTTTCTAGTTCCTTGAACTCTAAATTTCAGCATTTAGAGAGGGATCGGCTTCATCAGAACCCCAAGGTGAGCAAAACCCCAACAATCCCCTGGTTAACCACTCAAGCAGCCACAGTGTATGCTGTTCTTTCCCACTCTGAATCCCCAGGTAGAAGCTGGCAGGTGGGTCTCTCCTCCCATCCGTTTGTTCCATGTTGTGTAGGGGACAGGACTAGGAATGAGGGTTTCCTACTACTTCCCTACTGAGGGGCCAGACCCCTTCACTAGCTCTTGACATCTTTATGTGAGGGACTCACTAGGAATGAAAACTGAAAAGGAGCTGTGTCTGCAGAGACAGACTGACTGATTGGGAGTTCAGTACTGTGGAGAGATGAGAGTATTATAGGTCTGGAAGCTAATGACCTTGTCTTAGGCTAGCTTTAGGCCCTGGGATGGCCATTCTTTGCCCACTGCTGTGTCTGAACTAACATCTTGTGACTAACAAATAGAGACTTTTTGAAATCTCTTGACTTAGCTGCCACCCAACCCATAAGCCAAGAATGCCATCAGATAACATCTTAGGCCTACAGAAAAGCTTCCCCCATCTTGCTGTAACCACCTCTCTGATGTTGCCACCAATGCATTTTAAACTCACCTTGATTTATGACTTTCTTTGTTCTGTAGAACTAAAAAAGCTTCATGAAAATGCTTCCACACTGGAACATGGAATTCAGGGTAACCTAAGTCTGTGTTCCTGAGCCATGGTTGCTGGAATGGCTCCGGAATAATCTCTTGTGGCTTTTGTGTTGATTCTGCCCTAAATTAGTATCTACTTTGTGGGACGATGACTCTGAGGCTTACTGTCCTATTGTGCGACATCACAGTCATCTTGTGCTCAGAGGTGAGAAAAGCCAGACAGAGAAGGCTCCGGAGGGTTTATACGCATGAAGAAACTGTCCTGCCTTTAACTCATTGTCTAGGGCTGGCTACGCGGCTCTGACTCACTCCAGTTTTGAAGCCCTCAGAGAAGCAAGCCCCATTTTATACTGTATTGATGGATGTGCTGGTCTGAATGAGAATGTCCCTCAGAGGCTCATGTATTCAAATGCTTGGTCACTAGGAAGTGGCACTACTTGAGAGGAACTAGGAGGTGTGACCTTGTTAGAGTAGTGGGACCTTATTGGAGGAAGTGTGTCACTGGGTCTGGGGGTGGCTTTGTTGTTTCAAAAGCCCAAGACAGTACCAGTCTCTCTCTCTCTCTCTCTCTCTCTCTCTCTCTCTCTCTCTCTCTCTCTCTCTCTCTCTCTCTTCCTGCTATCTGTATTCAGCATGTAGAACTTTCAAGTACTTCTCTAGCATCATGTCTGCCTGGATCTGGATGTAGCCATGCTCCCTGCCATGTTGAAAATGGACTAAAACCTCTGAAACTGTAAGCAAGCCCCAGTTAATTGTTTTCTTTGTAAGAGTTGCAGTGGCCATGGTGTCTCTTCACAGCAATAGAACACTGACTAAGACAGAAGCAAATGTGAGTCACCGGGCACTAGTGACAACCATGAAAAGCCAATATAGTTAAGGTCACAAACTGACCACACCTCATTGGCTGTGGAACACTAGGGGAAAACTGTGATGTAGCTTTCCTGGAAGGATGAAGAGTTGAATAAATTTAGTTGTACAGAAGTGAGGTTAGAGTTGGGACAGAAAAGAGCCAAGGGCCCACTCTGGACAACAAGGTACTGAATAGCTGAAGATTCAAGAAATAGCAAGAGAAGCCTGCCATTTTGAAGTATGGAAAAAAGAGCAGGAGGAAAATCAAGCAAAAGAAGTTTTTTTCTTTTCAAAAGTCATGAATGGCATCTTCAGTTCTCAGTTAACATGTGGTAGTCAAGGGTTACTACTTTTTAAGAAGCCCCATATTTGCCAGACACTGGGGCTGCACACCTTTAATCCCAGCACTTGGGAGGCAGAGGCTGAAGGATCTCTGAGCTTGAGGCCAGCCTGGTCTACAGAGCAAGTTCCAGGACAGCTAGGACTACACAGAGAAAAATCTGTCTCAAAAAACAAAACAAACAAACAAACAAAAAATAGCTCCATATTCTTGGTTTTCTAAAATAGGTCAAATGTTTTGTATGAAACAAAAGTTTTGCTTAAATATAGAATTTAAGCATCAGAATTAAGACATGGGGAGAGACATGGACAACAAAGACAATCGTGAACATGTGACAATGACCCATGGCTTCTCATGAGTCTGCCTCAAATACAGCTGTGAAAAAAGAAAAAAAAATAAGCTTGCTGTCTCAAGACTTAAGAAAAATACCCCAGATATTTAATATAGATGACCTATTTCTTTTTAAAATCCCCAATAGTACCATGTATCACCCTGTAACTGGCATGCAGAATCTGGTAGCTTTGCCATCACAAATGCCAATGAACAGAGACAGAAATTCAGTCCTTCAACTGTGTTTTATTTTGAGACCTGGCAATCCGAGAAGGCAGTGGATTAACACCCTAAAATAATTCTGCCTTGCAGCTCATCGGCCAGCAGATTATATAGGGAGAATCAGGAGGCTGGAGAAAAGGCAGTTAGGCATCCTGGAGCTCATTCTTGGCCTCCTAATCAAGTCATGTCTCTGAGACTTGTGATGTCTGGCTGTCTGGCTATCATTATCACCCCTTTCACTCCTCCCCAACTCTCTGGATGTGTGGGCTCAGGCACTTCTTAAATTGCCTAGTCTAGTTAATGTACGCTGATATCAATTTGTAGTCCTCCAGGGACATCTGGGATGGAGGTGGGTTAAATCAAAACAGACACACCATTAACGGTGTTGGTGCTGAGCTATTACTGTGCCCGTGCTGACTCCAGTCTCCAATAGGGAATCTATCCATCCCTCCATCCGCTATCAATACTTTGGGGGAGAAAGGGAGAGGATTTGGGGAGATGGCTCCCCGACCCTTCCATTCTGTGACATTTCA